AAAGCGCCTTCTTCCACCCCCTTGGCTGGGCTCCCAGCGGCTTCTTTGTGTCTCCCCTCTCCTTCCTCTCCTCTTGTGCAGGGCCTTTATGTAGGGATTATTAACCATGGCTACGGGGCCTTTGTTTAGGAGGGGCCAGGAGCCGGGCAAGGGGCTGGGCGGGCAGAGGAAGGAAGGACGTGAGCGGAAGCGGGGAAGGAAGGTGACATCTGGATTTCTGTGCTGGAGGAGCGCAGCCTCCCAGGGCAGCTGTGCAGAGACGGCCCCAAAGAGGAGCCAAGCTGGGTCACCCAGCCCCACGCCGTCCCAAGCACAGCCCCCTGGTGATGGTGCCGTGGTCACAGCACAGACCCGTAAGCCCAGGGCTGCTAGGGCTGGCTCGTGGCATGCAAGCGATGGGGCTTGGCTGTATCGCAGGGGTGGTGGGGAAGGCTACGGAGCCGTGCAGCCTCTTGTGCCCTGCTGAGGACCCAAACCTCGCTGTGTGCGGGCTGGAGGACCAAGACAGCTGGGGAGTGAGCCCTGACTGAGACCAAGCCATTAGGCCTTACTTAATAACTACTTTTTAGCATGAATATGACTTAGCACTCAAACAGGACTGCTCTGCTTAACAGCAGGCTCTGAGGGTGGGAACCTGCCCTTCTGCTAGGCATGATAAACCATGTGTTAGAATTCGGGCCTGTAGACGGCTTGCATCTGCTTCTGTAAATTGCTTCTAAGCAGGGACATCCCTCGTGGTAAGATAGGATAACAATTTGAACGAGGAACTAAACATAACTCACAGATATAAGCAGTTGAAAGCTAAAAGGCCACCGATAGACTGTCGTTGTAGCCTTAGCCCAAGTGTGCAGGAGGATAAGAGGACTACAGTTCTATCTTATCCAGTTGTTGGGGATGCTTCAGATAAAATTATATCAAGGTGAGAACGTAGAGTATAAAAACCCTTGAAATTTGCTGTGCTTTGGAGATGTGGGTGGAGGTTTGAACCCCCACATGCTCCCAGGGCCAATAAAGGTCTGCGTGTGTCCTGTGAAGTGATTTCTTTGAATCATGATGGCCACTGCCAAAGCACAGGGGGAAGGAACCCTGCACCTTCCAGGGGTCACTCCACACCCCAGGGGTACAGACTGCCCATGGCCTGGAGCAGGTGCAGCCCTGGGACAGCGAGCAGACATCCACACCGTGCCCTCTCGCTCGCACGTGTGGCTCCTCTCCCAGCCCCTGTGCATTGCTTGGGGGCTGGGGGCCGATGGGGCAGCAGGGGGAAGCTGGAAGCATAGGGATGGCTATTTATAAACCAGCCTTTTCCTTCGGAAGACTTCCGAGTTCATCTCCCCCCCCACCCCTTGGCCGGAAAAAGGCCCCATTGTCTTGGCGCCAGATGGGCCGGGGCTGGGCACTCGCCCGCACAATGGGGTGGATTATGCACCCGGATGGTGGGAGTCCGGCACTGGGATGCCCGCGAGGAGCAGCTGCCATCAACACCCATGCAGCAGCCCCATGGCTGGGCAGGCAGGGGCCTGGACACGCTTATTCCTCACCCTGCTAATGAATGGCACTGCTCTTGTGCCGCAGCTCCCTGGAGGAGCACGGAGGAGGAACACCCGTGCCCTGTGCTCGTTGCACTGAGCAGTGTGCTTCCCGCTACCAAAGAAGGGAGGAGAAGCCAGCAGAGGGGACCAGCATCATTCCCTGTGCTTACCCTGCAGCCCCCAGGCACTGACGTCTTCATCCTGGCTTTGTCTGTAAGGTTTGGCGCTCCCCCAGGACAGCTCATTAGGAGTCACTATCAGAAAGCATAATGAGAAATCAGCCCCAGGCAGGTGCCGAGGGCAGCCCCAGCTTTGGGGAGCGCCTCTCATACCCAAGGGCTCTGGAGGATCCCTTTGGAGGGCTTTAGGGAAGGCTCCCTGCTGCTGCAAGGACGCATGGAGTAGAGGCAAGGACAGATGGGAGAAGGCAGTGAGGTGGGCACAGTCCCCATGGCACCTCCATGTGCCACCGGCCCCGCACCCTGCTCGGCCCCGCAGCACTGGGGACGTGCCAGAGCAACCAGGGCTCTGGGGAGCTGTGTGGCCGGCCCAGCCAAGCAGGGACTTCTCCTTGCGGGACTTTCCCATGGAAGAGGACTTGCTTTTCCCAGGGCTGTCTGGCCGGGCTCCAGGAGGAGAGAGAGATCCCAGCTCCCTCCGTGGGGATCCGCACAGCCCTCCAGAAACACTGCGGGCAGCCCTCGTGCTACCACTCTGCAAGGCAAACAAAGGCAGGGAAGGTGCCTGCTGCTGGGAACACAGCGGGAGATGGGCACCTCCAGCTCCTAGGGGCTCTCCCCGGCAGCCTCATCCATGCGGCACGCAGGGCGGATGCCAGCTGCCATTCCCTGCCGGCAGGGATGCGTGCAGTGCGGGACACCATCACCTGCGCCTCCAAGGCTAGGCGAAGGCCAGAGGAAGAGTGAGCCACATCATCCTGGAGCTGAGCCCAAGTGGGGACGGGGACTTCCCTGGAGCAGACGCACCGGAATGAGCTATTGTTCCAGGCTGGCCTGCGAGCGTGGGGCTGCAGGCGCCCGCTAAGGCATGAGCCCAGCCCTTGGCAAGGGTGTCTTGAGGGGAGCTGAGGTAAGGATGCTGGCAGGAGGACCATGCTGGCTGCCTTCCCCCAGGCGCTGGGGCTGCTGCATGGCCAGGGGTGTGCGATGGTGCCAGCTGCCTGGCCATTCGTGAGCATGCTGGGAGCGCTGGTGTGATGCCAACAGGATCCACATCCCAGAAACACCCTTCCTGCCTCAGGGCAGGAGGTGCCCATGCAGCAAGGGCCTAGGAAGGCTGGGTAAGATGCTGGGGCTGGGGAAGCTGCACTTCTCCCCTATGGAGGCAGGCCTGGAGGGAGCCACTGTGGTCCCCAGCACCATCTCCCAGCTCTGTGGCTGCAGGCTGCGCTGCCAGCCCTTTGTCTGCCTCATTCTTCCCATTCCTTTGCCACCCACAGCCTGTTCCCAAGATACAAGGCAGCCCCTGCGCTGCTAGCATGGCCCCAGGCTCCACACAGCCTGGACACCAGAGCACAGGGTCCTGATCCCCCTTCAAGCACTTCAGGCTCCGGAAAGCTCCTCAAGCACTGTGACACCCAGCCCTGGGGCTGCTCCCTGTGCGTCCAGCTAAAAGCCCTGTAGCTGGCTTCCTCCCGGTGCTCTGTGTTTCCCGAAATGCGGATCAGCTGCCTGGCTGCAGTGAGCTCAGCACCGGGAAGGCAGCTCAGAGGCATGATGCAGCAGCAGCTTTGTGGGCAGGCTCAGTGCCAGCACAGCCAGGCAGGGTACACGCAGGGCAGGCAGGGGTGAACACATCCTGGGTTCCTTCACCCCCAGGGTGGGCTGCGGTGGCCCTGCTTAGCACCAGTGCAGCCCAGTTTATGGTAGAGCCCTGTCTGTATATGAGCACTGAGGAGCTGATGAGGAGAGGGGGCTCATAAGCCTGTCCTGCTGCTGGCAGCTGCCACGGGCACAGCTGGGAGCTGGTGGCATCACGCCCGGACCTCCAGCAAGTGCAGGGACAGCTGGGGGGACCCTCCTCGTCCACACACCCTGTCAGGGACTTCTATCCCCAAAGCAGGGACCCAGGAAGGTGTTCCCCATCCCTCGCACCCCATCCCCTCCACGGGGAGCCCTGCTCTGCTCCAGTGTTCCAACCTGAACCGATCCCCTCGGTGCTCCCAGCCCCTGCAGCTCTCCTCACCCCACGCCGGGGTGCCTGAGCCCTCTGTCCGATAGGTCTGGATGCCGCGGAGCCGCACACCCTACAGCCGGGGAGCACAGGCTCCCCTCTGCCCCCCCCGGAGCAATGATGGAGAAGCCCCCTGCTACAGAGCCACGACCCTGCAGCCGCTACATCTCCCCGGTCCCGCAGCGGGGAGCCTGCAGGGATGCAGGTGCGCTGCCAGCGGCAGGGAAGGAGCGGACCGCGCCCAGCTCCCGGCTCTTCGCTTTCCTGCTCCCGTTCGGTGAAGCGCTGAGAAAGCCAAACATTACCATAAATGCCGAAAGCATCCTGGCTCGGTGACGCGGGCGCGCACACCGCCGGGGGACCGGGGAGGGGGGGGGGGGTCAGGCAGGGAGGGGACGGGGCTGGAGGGGAGCCAAGCCGGCAGGACACACACCCCAGCCGGGAGGGGACGGACGGACACGGAGCTGCCATCCCTGAGGGCTACGCTTCAGGAAGGGGACCCCAGCGTCCTGCTCCCTCGGGGCTTCCTGCCTTGCTGCCCAGGGGGACAGAGCCGGTGCCTCCCCGGGCTGCAGATGTCTTTGCTCGCTCTCCCCTTCCTTAAAAAGCCTTGGGCTCCAGGGCTGGGTTTCCCAGAGCTTGTCATTGCCCTCGGAGCGCTGGCAGCCCCACGCCCTTCCCGAGAGCCGGCGGGGAGGGCAGGAGCTGCTCTAGGGCCGTAACCTCGGGCCGGGTCACGGCCATGAGTTTATTCTTAGACCTCCTGCAGGAAACTGCCTGGTGGTGTGAGAGCAGCGCTGCCCCGGGCTGACCCTGCCCCACACACTCCCGCTCCTGGGACCTCGACAGCGAGGGCAAACCTCCCCCGTGCCGGGGCTGAGGCCGTCACAACCTCATCACACGTGCGCCATAGGCATCCCGTGGGTGGTGGTACCCACCCGCGCTGCTTGGAACCAGGGTGAGGGAGGGGCTCAATCGTGTCCCGGACACCGCGTGCCCGGACACCAACGCTCAGGCACCGCGCCGAGCTCAGCTGCGCCCGCACGGTTAAATGAGGGCCGCTGGCCCTTTAAATGCTCACCAATGGGCGTGGCCTATTGACCGCGCCCCCCACCGCGTCCTCCGAACCGACCAATGGGCAGCGGGGAGAGGCGCTACCCTCGCCGCCGATTGGCCCGGCGCCGCGCGGCAGTGCGAGCCAAGATGGCGGCGCCCATCGGCGGGGGTCCCCGAGCGGAGCGCCGTTAACTGCCCCGGCGGGGCTCCCGGCGCCGCCCGCCGCCATGGACCTGCTGTTCGTGCTGCTCCGCGGGCTGCGCCTGGCGCTGGACCTGCTGCTCCTGCTGCTGGACCTCAACTTCTTCCTGGTGTCCTCGCTCGTCTCCGCGCTGCTCTGGCTGCTCGCCGCCGTCTGGAGCCTGCCCGCGGCCGCCACGGCCGGCGCGCTGGCCTGCTGGGACGGGCTGCTGCTGTCGCTGGCCTCCGTGGAGCGGGCGGCGCTGGGCGCCCTGCAGGGGCTGGCGGCCGCGGTGCGCGGCTGCTGCTGCGGGCTGGAGGGGCTCAAGGTGCTGGGGCACCTCGTGTCGCATCTGGCGCTGCGGGGCAAGGAGCTGCTGCACCGCGAGCTCTGCGGGCTGCTGGGCTGCGGGCAGGCCGTGGCCAGGCACGTGTGCGAGGGCCTGGCCATCGGCACCAGCCTGCTGGCTTACCTGGTCAACAGCCTGGTGAACGTGTGCCTCATCGGCACGCAGAACCTCTTCACGCTGGCCGCGGCGCTGTGGGATTCCCTCGCCAGCCCCTTGCTCAGGGTCACCGACCTGCTGGCCGCTTTCCTTGCGCACGTCTCCAGCGGGGCCATCGCCGTGTCCATCCTGCTGTGGTCACCGTGCCAAATGGCCTTCGAGCTCCTGGCTTCCGTCGCCCAGCTCTTCGTCACCACCTTCTTCGTGAACATCTACGGGCTGGGCTTGCTGGTCCTCATTATTGCTGTCGGCGCCGTTGTCTTCAACCCAGGGCTGCTGTGGACGCTGACGGACTGCGTGCTGGGTTACTTCAACACGCTGCCTTCCTACCACCGCCTGCAGCGGGACGTGTGGCGGCTCTATCAGGTGGCGGTGCTGACGCTGGGTATGGCCATGACCTCGCAGACATGGCGCAGGTTGGTGGACTGGAGCCTGCAGGTGACCAACTGGAGCCAAGGAGGCAGAATGACGAACAGGGAGAGCAACCAGCGAGGGGCAACGGAGCCTACGCTGAGATACGCAGCTCCTGGCAGGCCGATGCTGGCAGGGGTCGCCCAGCTGCCCGCAGAGCATGAGGACGAGGAGGATGCTGAGCAGGTACCGCAAGCGCGCCCCGCTCTGGGTCGAAGCGTGTCAGGACAGCGTCTGCAGCCGCACAGGGAGCAGCCGGGTACCTCCTGGGGGAAAGCTCAGAGGAGGCAGCAGCTGAACGCAGGGGCTAGGGATGCTGAGGGCGCTGCGGATAACGACCCCTGGATGCTCCTGAAAGAACAAGAGGAACGCAAGAAATGCGTCATCTGTCAAGACCAAACTAAGACCGTCCTGCTTCTGCCCTGCAGGCACCTGTGCCTGTGTCAGGAGTGCACAGAAGTCCTCCTGCAGCAGGCCATCTACCAGCGCAACTGCCCACTGTGCCGCCAGATGATCCTCCAGACGCTCAATGTGTACTTGTGAGCCTAAGGGGCGGGTGGCTTGGGTCACTGGGGCACCTCACCCCTGCCTGCCTCTTGCCAGGGAGCAGAACTTCCCAGGGCTGCCTTGAGCAGCTTCCAAAGAACTAAGGATGGTGCTGAAAGGGCAAAAGGCTTTTAGGGGTGTCTGCTAGCCACGTTTGCTACGTAACTAGACTGTAGCTCCTGCTAGCAAGCACCGTAACTGATCTCTGCAGCGGGCTCAGTTATCTTTTGTTGACAACTTCTGCTGTTGGTGGGCCTGTTGCCTGGAGCCTGCAGCAGTCTCAGATTAAAAGCAGAGTGCAAGAAGGATGCTCTGGTTCCTTCTAGCCAAAGGTGGTGGCAGGTTTCAATGCTGCGCCCTCCTGGGAGTCAGAGGAGCTGGTGCAAGGTAAGGGAGGGTTTTTCTCAAGGTCTGCCTAGGAAAAGCACCTGGCAGACTGCATTCAGGTCTCTGTTACCTCCTCCCACCATCTAAGTATGGGAGCTCCCTGAGAAGGGAGAAGTGTGCTCCCGTTGCAAGGCCCTAGGAGAGCAATGAGCACACTCAAGTTAAGTGTGCTAAGCCTGGCTTTCAGCTAGAGAAGAGCAGGGTTTCTGGGGTTCTTTAGCATCCCAGCCACCATGGCTTTGGTTTTTGAGCTTCCTGTTCCCCTAGCCAGGACAATGAGGAGCTGTGACCATCGCAGACTCCCTGCAGGCCATAGCTGACTGCAGAGCCCAGTGTTGCTGCTGCTTCCGTGCATCACCTATGCAAGCCTAGCAAGCACACATCAGGTTACTCATGTGGGGAGGCCAGAGGGAGTTACTTGTTCTGCAGGGGTGGTGCTGCTGCTGGGGAAACCTGAGGGCCCTGGTAGTGCACATCTGAGCCAGTGCTGGAGAGTCTTCTCTGGATAACACATCTTCTTCAGGCTCTTGGGACTGGGTAGTGCACACCAGTGCTTGCTTGCTTGCTTGCTGCCTCCCAGGCTGGGCTGCACAGAGGGAGTCGTGTTCTGGGAGGAGACTGGGACACCCCAAAGCTCCTGGGAGCCCATTGAGACATTCCCGCTCCAGGCAGAAGTTCTGCATGTCCATTCTGTGGATCTGCAGGCGTGTGCATGGAGCAGTACCAGGACCATGGGATCTCATTGATGAGGGCAGGGTTCCACTGTTACACTGCTGTTCTGTCTTCCTTGTCTGTCCAAAATGTAGCTAGTTTGATTGAAGTGTCTCCTGAAGGCATCAGATCCCAGCTGGGAAGCCTGAGATGGCTCATCCCAGCCTGGTCAACCAGCACCATTCCAATTACTGGGCTGCAGGAGGGCCTTGCACTTGAAAGCTTTTCCTTTTCCAGCAGCTTGCCTGAGGTCAGCCACGCGCCACAGCCAGTTTTGGCTGGAGCCACACTGGCAAGAGCCTTGACTCCTGCACTGCAAGCCAAGAGCCCGAGGGTGGCTGGCGTGGTCTTCCTTCTCTCCTCTCCTTGAGAGTGATTTCAGCCAAAGCAGGCAGCAGAGAGGCCAGGCCATGCTGGGAGATACCTCTGAGCTGCAGCAAGATGCTGTCTTGTTGGGAGAGTGGCTTTGCTCTGGGAGGCACTGCAGGGGCTGGTTTGCCCCACTGCCATGGGGTCAGGAGGCGCTCCCTGGGCTCCAGAGCAAGTAGTAGCAGGGCCTGGTCCCAGGGCTGTCAGCTGCTTCCGCCTCACTTTGCAGGGATACAAAACTCCCTGCCCAAGCCCTTGTTGCTCAACCTCTTGTCCCTGTGCCTCCCCAGACACAGAGCACCCACGTTAATGTTTGCTCACTCCAACCCCCTCCCCTGTGGCTGCAGCCAGCCATGCTTTGCAGTTGAGTAGCCAAAGCCTTTGCCAGAGCAGCGAGTGCAACCCCACTGCATTCCTGCATTCCACAGGCCTTGCAGAGGTCATCCTTCGGGTGTGCCTGTGGAGACACCCAGGAGCAGGAATGTGGCCATGCTGCAGGCTGTGGTGTTTGGTCAGGGACCACCTCATGGTGCAATGTTTCCTATGTGAATTACAGGGAGGAAAGGCCGCCTCCCCAGGACTGCAGTTTCTCCCCTTAAACCCTTTTTCTATTATAATACCTATGCTTTTTGGTTTAGGGCCTGTTTGTTTGCTGCCTGTTTATAAAGGAAAAAGAGAGAGCTTTGCCTTAAGTTTAACTCTTTGCACTATGGACTAGACACTGAGCAGATTAAAATCTCCTTTACCAAAAGCTGTTTGGTGCCTCATTCTTGGAAAGGGTTTCCTCTGGAGGGATGGGGTCTCAGCCCTGGGCTCCCCAGCAAGCCTAGCGCTCCCCAAGGGTCACAGCTGGAGGGGTGACACCACCAGCAAGCTATGGGGTACTTGCATCTCTAAAGGTAGAGCTGGATGGAGCCCTGAGCAGCCCAAAGCTGAGGGGTTATTAATTCCCAGGTGGAAAGGAGCACGACATGGGCATAAAATCCCTGCTTCTCCATGTCCTTGATGTCCTGCTGCTTGTGATGGAGGGCGGTGCAAGCCTGACCGCCCCAGGGATGGAGGCAGCACCCAAAGCATCAGGAGCCGTGGAGCAGCAGGCAGCACAGGGCTCCGTCTGGCCTTGCTGTGGCAGGCTCAGCCACTGTGCTACCGGTGAGCAGATACATTTGCTGCACGATGGGTTACTCCTTGGCTGCGGTCTGAGCTCTTGGCAGGTTGCTGTGTGCTTTTAAGCACCCCCTGCTTCTCCAGCATCCTTGTAAATTGCTTGGAAAAATGCTTCAGGACCCTGATGGGCAGAGATGCCAGGAGCCCTGGCTCACCCTGCCCTCAGCTCACCTGCCTTGGCAGGGCCAAGCCAGCTAATCTGAACCTGGATGGGAACCATAGCAGGGAGAGGGAGGGCTGCAGGAACAGAGCCCTGCCCGGTGCAGGGAAGAGCCCACTGAGCCCTATGGGGGTCTGGCTGTGGATGGGTGACAACTGAGGCTGAGGCTGCAGAGCTAACCCAGGGCAGGAGGACGGAGCCAGCAGGGCTATGCCTGCCATCCCCTGCCTCAACAGGGTGATCCCAGCCCATCACTCCCCAGGCAGCCCCAGTGGGGGACACAGAGGGTGCTCAGCCGCCTCAGGCCAGTGCAGCCGAGCAAGGACAGGATGTGAAGGACAGTGCCTTCCCCTGGGAGCCGTGCTGCACGCACTTGGCTCAGCCCCTGGCCAAGCAGTAAGCAATTACAGGAGGAAAACGCAATCACCTCCCAGCTGATGGGCAGTGCAGAGGGTCCCCGAGACTGATGCTATGCCTGCCTTCTCCAGCACTGTGCCTTTTGGTGTAGAGCTGCACTGCCCGGGGAGGGTACCCAGCAGCAACAGCACTCACAGACCAGGGCGTGAGATCTGGAGTCCCCAGGGTCCTCCCTCCTCCAGAGCTTAGCCCATCACAACGTTAAGACCCCTCTCCAGGGAGCGAGGAGGAGGATGCTGCTGGGTTACTGCAGTTCAGGAGCACGGGGAGGGGGGGACTGACAGCTTGCTGAAAGCAGGGCCCCGCAGGCTCTGAGAAGATCCCTGGGATCCCTTTGTTAGCCCAGCTGCACCAGCCCATCCCTATTGCGGCCTGGGGACCAGAGCCAGCGCCTGCCTGACAGCAGGGAGCGGGCTCGACAGACGCTCGCTGCAGATGCACAGCTCATGATCCCAGGCCAACAGGGAGGGAGCAGGTGATGCTCAGCAGCCGAACCATGGGGGGCCTTTGGGCTGCTCCCGGGCCCCAGCTTTGCTCCTTCATTATCAGCCCAGCACAGGGAGCCTCACCAGCTCCCCAAACGCTGTGGCAATCCGCATTTAAAGCTCTCCTTGCCACCTCAGCTGGCTGATGTCACCTGAAGATGACTGAGGGTGGTCCCTGCATCTCCTCAGTGATGAGGGCACCGAACCTATGCCATAAACCACAAGCTTTTGGGTGGAGCAGCATCTATCCTACTGTCAGGGGTCACCAGGGCAACCTTCACCATCGAGGGCATTTCCACTTTCAAACCTGCCAGGAGGATGCTCTGTTACCGTAGTCAAAGGATTGGGCTCAGAGAGGTACAGCTGACCTCCTTAATGCCCTCTTTGACGCCATATAGCACTCCGACCTTCTCCACTTGCCAGCACGGCTCCAAGATGCACAAACCACACGCCTCTTGCAGGATGCACCCTCAGCAGCTAGGGAATGGCCAGGCTGTGTCCTCCAGCGTTGCAGGAATTGCTGCTCCAGTGGCTGTGACCTTGGTGTGCTGGAACTTTAAAAACCCCAAACACAAAGCAACCAAAAAGGGGAAAAATAACCCCAAAAGAACCCACCTTTCTGCCCACTCTGCTGCCTCCACCTACAGCACTTTATGGGCTGAGCCTGCCTCTTTTATAGGCTTCTGCCCTGCACTGGCTAAGGGATGCTGGCCCCTCCCTAACCTGGGCTCAGCTGGGACAGGGGCTTCAAGCACTAAGGTGCAGCTTCTAGAGCTCATTAGGAGCAGCTAAACCATACTAGGAACATGCCAGAAGTCAAGGTCTCCTGTAGCTCCCCTTCCTGTTATCCTTCCCTTACCCTCTTCCTCCTCGGGCAGCAGCAGGCACCCCTGTGTTCCTCAGAGGCTTCCCAACAGCCCCACAGTGATCCCAGCCAAAGTGTCCCGAAGACCAAAAGCATCTCAAAGGAAGGAGAACCCAGACACTGCTGTGCCTCTGGCTGCCTCTGTGAGCTGCGCTCCCCCACATTGTGATAGGGACCAGAGGATGCTCCCAGCCCCCACACCCCTTCCCCTGGCCTGCTCTCAAGTCATTTTCCTCCTCCCAGAATAGATCCCATGCCATCGATCCGCTCTGCGGCGCGGCGTGCCCCTGGGCGGCTCTGCTTACAGAAAAGGCCGTCCTCAACCCAAACAGACGCTTCCACTGCAACCCAATCCTGGCGCTGGGCTCCAGAGCCCCTCTGTTAGCTTCACCCTTGGTCCCAGCGCCTCCACAGCCCCCTATGGGTTAAGGGTGGTCCTTGGGATGCTGGACTGTGCATCCCCG